ATTTTATTCTCATGAAGTGGTAAAGTTTTGTATGTATGATTGATTGCCATGATTCGGCAAATAGCAAGAGACAGGCTAAGTCATAACGTCATCACGGGCGGGAATTTTGAAGGGTTTTTAATGCTGACTACATCAAATTCAGGGGTTTTGGCTCATAAATGGAATAATATGGATGATGATTTGAACTGCTGGGAAACAAAATGTCTATAAACGAACAACATGAGACCATCATTTAATTTTTAGTCAAAGCTAAGTTATAATTTATTTGTTTACATAGTTGTTCTGACTGTACTACGATTCTGTAAGCATACTTTCATTGCAAATGACGTACCGCGTGGTAAATCAGGCGATAAACTTCTCCTGGACTTGCATTTTATTTTATCATAATTCTTTTTTTCCGCCATAAACATCCCTCGCATTCACCCTTAAACTAATAGTGCGCGGCGACGGTCAATGCGTTCGGGTTCGAGGGTGGTGCGGTCGGAAAAAAGGGATCGTACGGGTGCCACACAAACATTTGTAAAACCTTTTCTTTGTCGTCTCTAGTAGGAACCTACTTAACTGTTTCTAGAAATGGTTATGTGTGTTGTGCCTGGATGTAACCACTATAGTGAACAAAAAGTATGCAGATTTTTCACATTTCCTGCCAATTCTACAGAGAAAAATAAATGGATAAAGTTTATAAGGTCAAATCACCTCCCTTTTCCTATGCTGAGGTACTCATTTTATTGTTTTTTAGACGACAGATGGATTCAATGTAGAATCGTTACTAAGACACTCCTAAATGCAAATACATACCTTAGAACGCTTCTTTTTCGTAACTGTTAATAATAATAATAATCAGCACACTTGGAAATTGGAAATTGTTCAATATAGTTCCACGCATCGGGCAAGCAATTGTTTACACCCGATTAAGTGTGAATAAAGGAGTTGTGTATTAGTTTAAACGGCCTTTTATTAACACCGAACCGTGTACTCGTGGTAAAACCGGTTGTTTTGCGACGGGGCACCCGACAATCTATTAACGCCAAATACAGCCACTATAAACACTCGTTTTTACGTCTTTTATATTCGTCTTTAGCGTTTTTTTATTTTTGTCTCGCGTTTTCTTGTTCACCAAGAACCTTCGTCTTCCGCCTTCCTTTCTGGGGTTTACAACCCCTCAACTGTCAACCAAAACTATTACTGGGAACCGCATTTGGGGTTTTTTACTAGATATGCCAAATACTAAAGTTAATGTTAAAATGAACACCTAAACGATCAAGCAGGTTATAGAAGATAACTCGAATATAAAGGTTCTAAAAAATTCGTTGTCTGGGGGTAGAGCTAAGATCTTCAAAATTTAGAGTCATAGAGCAATACTATACTAAAGTGTATACATCAGACTATGAAGGCTTTCACGGCCGGTCAGATTACATTTAGGAATGTTTTCCGGGCTTTGAAGCCGTGGTCTATCGGAATTTCTTCCTGACGTTTCGTCCACATCTGCGGTGGACATTCTCAAAGGCGATGAGGCAGTGGGCGAAGTGATCTCCCGTGCTTTCCGACTAAGAATGATTCAACTGTGTGTACTCATGCGTGGGGGATGGGTGGGGGTTCCAACGCTTCGGCGCACATGCTGTTTGGCGCAAAATGCGCTTCCAATCTGGATTGAGTGCCGTAATTTCTTCTTATCTGTTGAAATTGTTTTGGTGTTTAAATATTTCGATGGCCTCCCTGGTGAGTCTCGGGTAGTATCTTTCAGA